ACTCTGTAAATACCTTTACTGTGTATATATGGTATGTTTCACTCTGTAAATACCTTTACTTTGTGTATATATATATAGTATATTTCACTCTGTAAATACCTTTACTGTGTATATATGATATGTTTCACTCTGTAAATACCTTTACTGTGTATATATGGTATGTTTCACTCTGTAAATACCTTTACTGTGTATATATGGTATGTTTCACTCTGTATATACCTTTACTGTGTATATATGGTATGTTTTACTCTATACCTTTACTGTCTATATTTATTATGATATACTCGATATCATTCTGTTGCATTCAGTACATTGTACTCTGTCAGTGAGACTTTAACGTGGATTTCAAGTGAAGGCCCTGTCATTCCCAACTGAAAACATATCTGATGTAGAGAATGTTTCTGGTTTTAACCTCAAATTTGAAAATCACTTTGAATTCACAATAAATTCTCACCTCTGAGTTTCTGTCTGTATTTTTCTAGATACTCTTTATCACTCTATAACAGTTATTGCCGTAGCTCTCTGTATTTGCCATGTATAGAGTTTCATTCTATACTTTGTTTACTCTTTATTAATCCTCGTATTGATACTTCTGTTTCCACGTAAGGTATCACTCTATAGAAATCGGACTATTGTCATCCTGTTTATGATTTGTATGGATACTCACCCAGTATTACCCCATGGCAGTAACTATACAGATGTTCTGTTTGTGTACTAATTATATCTCTGTAGAAGTTATTCTAATCATATAATCACAGCTTGTGCTGTGTGTGGAAAATGAGTGACTCTCCCAACATGACCGGGTTTTGTCAGGACCTGTAGGGGAACGAGATCCAGGTTGGGATAGAGCTATGTGAGGCAACCTGCAGAGCAGGTCTAGGCAATACGCAATTTGTGACACTTAGAAATTCATTGCATTATAAATGTCTGACTAATGATTCCAACTCACCGTGAACTTGATTCCAAACTCATGCCAAAGTTTACTCATTTATTTATCTTTATTTTAAATATGGTTTTAATGACTGTGAAATGCAAAGACTGTGGGATGTTTTTGTCACTTCTTTTTAGTGATAAAAACACGATTAAAATGTTTCTTTAGTACTAAGTATAACACACAATTCATTCATTAATACATTCTATTCCCAGATCTTATTAAGTAATGTGTGATGTGTCAGAGCTCATTAATCAACACATATCTCGTACTGCCATGCCAATGGGAGAAATTCCATATCGTATCAGAGGCATCACGGGTATTTCTCAAAATGTAATATTCATAATTTCATCGATTTTCATTTTTACTGGACATTTTGTTTAGAAATTATTTATGGTCGTCTTTATTTAAAAATGATTGTTGAACTATTAATGCGGAAACACGAGTAAATCAGGTTCTGTAGTTTCTATGCAGTGATGTCATCAGTCACATCTCATTTGTAAATGACTACTTAAAATGTTCATTTAGTTTTAAAGGTATTATTAGGACATTCTAATGGAATGACTCCAACTGGATGACTTCATCCAGTTAGGAGTCATTCCATTTTAGGAGAGAAAAGTAACTGGTGACACTAGAACAAGATTTAAAGGGACACTAAAGGAATCAAACACCTTTAGCTTATAGAGCATGCCCTGCAGTCTCACTGCTCAATTCTGTGCCATTTAGGAGTTGCAGTACTAGCCAAACTTCCTCTGACTGTGACTCACACATCCTGCATGAAAAATTGATTCATTTTTCATTCACATGTTGACTTGCTTTAGATATTTGTGTCTCCTGTTCTGTTAATTAAACTATAATCACACACAGGAATATCCTGCAGTCTCTGGAGATAAGGCATTCTAAATTAAACAGAATGTGCAGTAAATGACATTTAAACATTATATGTTTCCTCACAGATAGTGTTGATTTCTACTAGTAATATTATAGTTCAAATTTTTTTTTTTTTAAATGAACCCTTAACAGCCCTTAACATAATTTCCAAACCACACATATTAAGCTCACGGGTCTGTAGTTTGCAGGTTGAGCTTTTGACCTCTCTGTAAACATAGCCACCTCACCTTCTTTATTTTAATTCCCTGGTACAATTCCTGGAATAAAATAATATCACAAGAATAAAAACAGCAGTATGGATATATCTACACTATGCTGCCTAAATACGTGTGGGTGAATACCATCTGGCCCTGGGGCTTTATTTGCTTTAATTTCATTTAATTGCAGTAGCACTTTATTCTGTGTTAACCAATCACCTGCCCTTGTAACAGGGATTTGCAAATCTACAGATTATTCTTCCTTATTTAGTGAAGAAAAATAATGATTTAGGATTTCTTGCTGCTCCTGATTGACCTTGATTAACACATCCATCTCAGATTCCAAATGACCAACAATTTCACTTTTAGCCTTTTTGGCTTGAATGCGCTTTAAATACTTTTTGAGGTTGGTTTCCTCTTTTTGGCTATTGTCTTTCGATTTTTTAATTTAGCCCATGTAAATGCACTTTTGCAAGTCCTTTCGACATGCTTATAGTTGTTATAGGGTACTATTGATCCATCTGATTTAAATGGCCCCTTTCTTATTGTTTCTTAGTTGACTGACTCACTTACTAAGCCACATAGGAGTGTGCCGCTCATCAACCCCCCTCAGGCATTGCAGTCTGCGGTTAACCGCAGGTTAAGTGCCTCTCCCGGACGGGCTCCGTTCCTACCACGAACAAACGGGACAACCAGACTGGTAGCGGGGATTCGCATGATTCTGTTCCCGGCTTTCGCTCCATGAATACAGCATCGAGGTCCCGCTGGCCATTGACGGACCCAAAAACATGGCCGCCATCGAGGGCTTAGAATCCAACTACCGAACAGGACTTTATATAGCAGAAACCTCCTGCTCTGTTCGCGGGATCTGGGCGTAATTCGCACACTTAATGCATCCAGAGCTGAGCTACCGAATGATACTTGGAAAGGACTATATTTGCTTTATAATGCCTAAGTTACATATTTTTATATTGTTTTCTGGAACATAATAAAGCATGGTCGGGCGCTTGGAGATAATTAGATTGTATAACTGTTAGCCTCATTATCTCCAAGCTGGGTGGGTACTAGTTTGAATAATACATTGTACTGTGATTTGCCAAATACTTGTACTGTACCTGTATCCCATCAGGTCCATGGGGGGCTGTCCCTGGACCTGGGGACTTGCATAAATTGCCATGCTTGTGTACCAGTAAAGCCAGTTCATTTTACCCTCAACTCGCAGCCTCGACTGATGTTGTAGGGATCAGGGAATACTAGCACTACTACAGCTAGTGGGATATTCTACACTTTAAGATTCTACCGAATGGAACCTCGTTCGACTCTCTGACTTCGGGAACCAGGACATCCAAGCGATCCAACCTCCTGCTAGCCCGGAGGCAATCGTAACACTTTTTAATTTGCTTATTTTACAAATGTTTCCCAGCAGGATGTATTATGAAATGTTCATTTGTAGAATTTATCTAATGATCTTCCATTTATCATCTGTGTTTTTGCCAGTGGATAAGTCCTGACTGTCAATTTGTTGTCAAATCCTATGAAAATTAGCCTTTTTAAAGTTAACAATTTTTGCATAGCCTATATAATTGTTTTATATATATGTTATGGTTACTATTTAACATCCCTAATCTGAATGTTAGAAAAAAGGTCGACATTATTAGCGATTACAAGATTCAGACAAGCATCTAGTCTAACTCCTGCTTCTACTAATTGAGCCATGAGAGTATTGTTTAACAGGTTCATAACCTAAACTGTACTACTAATCTCTCTGTCTCAGTCAATACCTGGATAATTAAAATCTCCAATTAACATACTGCCCAGACGTGCAGCCTAATTAATTTGAGATAGCAGTTTCTTTTCCAAACCAATATTAATCTTTGGGGGGTCTGTAGCCTATTCCTATTATTAACGAATATCCCTGATCTCATCCTCAGCAAATTTAAACCCATAAGGTATCCACATCCTAACTAGTGATGTCGCGAACCCGAAATTTTCGGTTCGCGAACGGCGAACGCGAACTTCCGCAAATGTTCGCGAACCGGCGAACCGCCCGAAACGCCATTGACTTCAATGGGGAGGCGAATTTTAAAACACACAGGGAC